TGTGTGTCTAAATATCTAACTAACACAGAGTTCATGTCATTCTCGGGTACATATTGTCAATCCAGATCACTGTCTGTGCTTTCACCACTGTTTTTGTCTATAGAGCAATACCGAATATAATTCCATGTGGAGCATGGGTGTGCGTAGATAAATCTTTAGAACGGGGAGAGAGAGAGAAAGAGAGAAAGAAGAGAGCAATAGAGAGAGAGAGAGAGAGAGAGAAGAAGAGAGAGAGAGAGAGAGAGAGAGNCGAGCGCGACCGCGCCCCTTAAAAATGAAAGCCTGTGAGTGTGTATTGATTCTGATGCCAGTCGTTGGGTAAATATGCTATGCCATGTATAGTTTGTCCTTGCAAAAATGCAGCGTCATTATTTACCTTGTCAATACCTAGCTCTGCTGTTGCCGCTCCTCGCTCCTGCTGCAGTGGATCGAGGGACTACTAGTGAAGGTGATGGGCTACATAGATAAGGCTAGCTATAGTCTAGACCAGTCTATGCATGCAAGAGCGTCATTTCACAACACTGAATAACAAGGTAAGAGCAGGAGGAGCAGGAGTACCACAGATACAAGGTATTTATACATAGTTAGATCGCACCTATATAACACAGAAATAAACGTGTATGACATATACTGCTATGTTATAGGAGGAGAGGAAGAGAATGACTAATATTATATACAATGTAATACTAATAGCTCAAGAAACTTATAATTGCTCTACTTGTATAGTTGTTCACACAATGTATATATGGTGTAGTTCCAAGAAAGAGTCGGACATCGAAAGACCTCTGATTAACATGACTATGCATATTACCCCTAGTTGTTGACCTCTATATATACTGATCTGTGTATTGACATTAGAATCGCAGCCAGGAAGTCTGAAGTTCAGTTTGGAACTGGGAAATAGCCGATTTTTTACCCGGGACACTGGGAAGTTGCCCCCTTCATAAGCTGATATAGGTCATATTGGTCACTATAATTTATGCTGTAGGCAAAGAGAAGAGTTGATCTGTGTAAATTGATATGCACATACGTTGGAATAATTAGAAACTCCAGACCTGTATACGAAGCGCACGAGAAGATGGCTAGTGCTGCCGGAGGAGACTGCTCGCACGATTGTAAACATGGGGATTCCCACCATGAACACGAACCTGAGGAGTGCCCTCACACGTGCAAGCATTCAGATGCCGACCCGTGCACAACCGATCCCGGAGTCGAGGATTCTTGCGGTATATATAATCAGGAGCCTATCAATATAGGAGTCTATTGATAGACTCCTGATATAATGACTCGCATATATTCAGGAGCTCATTCTAGCAGGTAACTCTGTTATAATGATCGAGCTCCTGAACTTATAATTACATGCTTTTATCATTTTTAGCTCATCTGACATAGTCAGATGCAGCTTGTAGAATCGCATGATTGTCCGTCCGTCCGTCCGTCCGTCCGTCCGTCCGTCTGTCAACAGTTGGGCACAAATCTTAACCGCTCGAC